GGCAGAGGCCAAGCATTTTGCCAGGCCTTTGGGAGTCCCTGAAGGAGAGTTTCAGACAAGGCCAGCTATGAAACTCTCCCCTATGTCCTCCCCACAAAGGGCTTCTGCATTGCCCTTCTTCCTTCCCTTTCCTTGTAGATACAGTAAATCAGACATTTTGCTTTGAAACAATCAACTGTTTTTTTTATTTGTGGTAAATATAACTGGGGAGGTATTTGGGAAAGAACCTGGGAGAGTGGAGGAGTGGGGGGAGGAGGGGCTCAGGGATGGGGCTGGGACTGGCGCCTGCCTTGGGTAGTCCCATCACCTCATGTGCAGGGCTGTTGGCTGCCATGAGGGGACCTAGGAGAAGAAGCCAGAGGAGCAGGGGTAGGGGCAGGGGTAGGAGCGGGAGTGGGATCAGGGGAAGAGGCATGGACAGAAGCAGAAGCAGGTAGGGGACACTTGGGAAGGAGTGAGTGCAGGGGACAGCTCCTGGACTGCTTAATTGCGGCAAGCAGGCAGTCAATGGCCGCAGTGTATGCCATGCACATGCTCCAGGTCAGCTGGGACAGCTCCTGCCAGATGGTACAGTGCAGCTCCAAGTCAGCATCCCACCTCTACTCCTGCCTTTGGAGACAGCACTGCAGGGCACACAGGCAGGCAATGTGTTTCCACTCTAGAATCTCCTGGGTCATCTTCAGAGTGGAGGCTATTGTGGGGTCACGAGGATGGCACAGGAAGTGGTGGACATGCCTCACTCAACTGGTCCTACTATGAAGAAAAGATGATTCACATTTCAGGCAACTAAATATGATGAAGAATAGCAAGATAAATAGAAGCTATTTTCCTTATCATCCAATTGTTTTACTCCAAAATAGAAATAATGAAAATTCCCTCATTCACCCCATGGGCAAGGTCTGCAAGACCTCGTGGCTTGTGAGTTGTCTACATTATATTGTAACACAGTGTCATAAGAAATTACCTGAGAGAAGATCATTTTGAAAACTGTGTATCTGATGTTTGCACCGATGTTAAAAAGGAGACCCTGAGAAAGTGAAAGTTTGTAGTATTCTCAGCCCTTGATGGAAAAAAACAACAACCTTTTTTCCCCTTCAGCAACACTCAACCTTATGTATTGCATGAGAAAGTATATTGTTTGGCCTTACAAACATAAATTGTCTGACCTTGACTTGTACAAAATGAAATAGGTTGTGCTATATTCAGTGAATATTGAGGTTTTTTTCAGAGAAGTTTTTGGAAGTCACAAAATAGAGCTGGACAGATAGTTTAGAATGAATCCAAGTTCATGCATACACCACATATTTGAGTAATACCAACTAAGCCTTAACATTATATCCTCAGTTCAAGAGAGCCCAACAACTTTTTCTGGACCATATTTTGATTGTTGGGCAGCAGCCATTTGTGTTGAGCTGTGGTTTGGGTGGTTGTTTGTGTCTGTTTAACATATATCAGGTACACGGAATGCCCCAGTTTGTGGTGTATTGCAAGCATCAGCCAGAAACAATGAGGGAATTAGTTTTTTGAATAAATTTCCCATATAAAATGAAAAATGTCAATCAGAGATGGTCTACAAAGTGTGGACATTATCTTATTGGTGAGAAATTGACTTATGTTTCACACTGTCTGTCTCTTAATAGTGATTAAGAGGCACAAGGTGGCAAGTCTGAAAAAAACAATGGTGTTGATTTTGTTGCATAGGAATACAGAAGCTAGAACTAAAAAAATGGATGGAAAAATATCCATATATGTATATTTGACCATTTATATTTCAGAATGATTTTCGTGAGAATTGTGAGGAAATGAGTAGAAATATTTAAAATTAAGATTGAATTTCAAAACCCACAAAATCTTTAGTCCCTAGGATATCCAGAAAAATTTGTGGAATGAGTTAGATGATCATAAGAGAATAAAACAAAAAACAATCTTTTCAGTAGTGAGATAGTCCATTGTACAATCAGTACTTGTTCATTTCTTTTCTTTTTATACTAGCTGTCTGCCTGGAGTGGCAAATACTACAGCTATATTCAGGAATAGTGATTACTTCTCACTTCTGTTAGCTAACATGGGGAAATTCAAATCTCTAGTGTGACAAAACCTAAAAGAGAAAATTAATGTGACAAGCATTGCTTCTCCTGGGAAACCATCTTCCAATGCCTGCAACAGATGTAAATCACAGTTATAAGGATGTGATTTAGCAACCTGCATGGAACTCAAAGGAAGGTGCCTAAGTTGTAGGAAGAAAGCATTTAAAAGAGACACCAGGAAGTCAGTCTGTATGCTTATAGCTTGCATTCTAGCCACAGTTGCAGCATCTCTTTAAATAGACTCTTATAAAAAAGAGTCACTTGGATTTTACAAGAATGGAGTCCTGTCATGTTGTTATCTAGCAAATGATGATCAGGAACAGTCAATATGGATCCACCAATAGCAAATCATGCCTGACCAAACTAATTGCCTTCTATAATAAGATAACTTGCTCTTAAGCAAATATTTTGATAGGGTATCCTACAGTATTCTTGCCATCAAGTTAAAGAACTATGGATTGTATGAATGGACAACAAGTAGAAAAGAAAACTGGCTAGATCATTGAGTTCAATGTGTAGTAATCAACAACTCAATGTCTAATTGGCAGCCAGTATAAAGTGGAATGCCCAAGGCGTTGATCCTGGGGATGGTTTTGTTAAAGATTTCCATTAATGATCCAGGTGATGGGATGGATTGCACCTTCAGCAAGTTCATTGAAGGTACTAAGCTGGGGGAGAGGAAGACATGCTGGAGTACAGGGATAGGAATCAAAATGACCTAGACAAATTTCAGGATCAGACAAAAAGTAATCTGATGAGTTTCAGCCATGACAAGTGCAGAGTCCTGCACTTTGGACAGAAGAACCCCTCTTCCCCAGGCAGGCTGGGGACCGAATGGCTAAGTGGCAATTCTGCAGAAAAGGCCTGGAGATTACAATAGATGAGAAACTGGATATAAGTCATCAGTGTGCCTTTGTTGCCAAGAAGCCTAATGGCATACTGAGCTGCATTAGTAAGACTATTGACAACAGATCAAGAGAAGTGATTATTTCCCTCTGTGCAGCACTGGGGAGGCCATATCTTGAGTATTGTGTCCTGTATTGGGATGGGAGCCTGCTATAGAAGAGTCAACAGTGTCCCCTTGTTGCCAAGAAGGTTAATGATATATTGAGTTACATTAGTACAAGCAATTGCATTAGTAGGAGCATTGCCAGAAGTGATTATTCCCCTCTATTTGGCATTGATGAGGCTGCATCTGGAGTACTGTGTCCAATTTTGGTCCTCCCATTACAGAAAAGATGTGGACAAATTGGAGGGAGTTGAGCAGGGAAAAAATGATTAGGGGGCTGGAGCACATGACTTATGAGCAGAGGCTGAGGGAACTGGGATTATTTAGTTTGCAGGTGAGGAAAGTGAGGTGGGATTTGATAGCCTTTAACATCCTGAAGTGGGTTTCCAAAGAGGGTAGAACTAAACTATTCTTAGTGATGACAGATGGCAGAGCAATGCACAATGGTCTCAGGTTGCAGTAGGAGAGGTCTAGGTTGCATTGTAGGAAAAGTTATTTCACTAGGAGGCTGATGAAGCACTGGAATGGGTTATCCAGGAAGCTGGTGAGCTCTCCATCCTTGCAGTTTTTTAAGGCCAGGTTTGACAAAGCCCTGGCTGGCATGATTTAGTTGGAGTTGGTCATGCTTTGAGCAGGGGGTTGGACTAAATGACCTCCTAAGTGATTAACCTTCTATGATTCTATGATATAGAAACCCTGGTGGCAATGGTCAGTCCAGAGTGATCCATGATCAGAAAGATCATGAATAATCTACAAAGTGGAAACTCATAACAGAGGAATCAGGCAGCATGGGGCAGATTCAGTCCTCCATGAATGCTGGATTTCCAGATGAAAAATCTTGCACGTGCAGAAAAGCAAGACTTGATTCTATATATAGTGCTCACTATCTGAGCTAAAGATAAGAAAATGAAGGTACATTTTTGTTTACTTTCTCATTCAAAGAAAAAAGCAAAAAGCAAATAAGACACTATTGTCAGGATTAATGCCTGAAACACTGGAGCAGCTGATAAAGGGATTTGATAAGTACAATTATCCCACACAGAATGAGACTACAGAGAGATACTAGGTTTTTATTTACTCCAAGACCAAGAAGCAGAAGAGGGAATAGATACTTACATTACAGAGCTGAGAACTCCAGAATTCCCTCTGTAACATTGAAGACATTAAAGTTTCTCTAATTAAAGACAGGGTTGTTTTAGGGCACAAGATTTCAGCTAATAGTAGATACTGCCAAGAGAAACAGTCCTAACCTTAGAAAAATGCCTCCAAATAGCACAAACAGATGAACTGTTCAGGGAAAGGATCACAACAATAACAATAACCAGTGCAGGATAAATATACAAGCACAGGAGACAAGAACCCAGCAAGCAGGGCAGATACAGACTGGTCAAGAATGCATCCATTACAGTATGCTGTATATACTGTAGAAAAAAACATAAAAGGCAGAAAGGAAAATGCTCAGCCTATGGGCAATAGCTCAAGGCATGTGGGAAACAGAATTATTTTATGCCCAGAGCAGCAGCTACCTCAGCATGCAGAGAAAAGGCAGCCATGAACGCAACAACTGAGGACAGAGGCAAGGTGTTGGGGGAACATAGTTTAAGCCCATTGCTTCTTGTTCTATCCTCAGAGGCCTAAACCTCAGAGGAGGTTTAGGTTGGACATTAGGAAAAAGTTCCTAACTGTCAGGGTAGTCAAACACTGGAATAAATTGCCCAGGGAGGTTATGGAATCCCCATCTCTGGAGATATTTAAGAGTAGGTTAGATAAATGTCTATCAGGGATGGTCTAGACAGTATTTGGTCCTGCCATGAGGGCAGGGGACTGGACTCAATGACCTCTCAAGGTCCCTTCCAGTCCTAGTATTCTATGATTCTATGATTCTGCTCCCTTTCCTCCTACAGCATCCTGTATGCTGTGAAACAGCTGTTTGTGGCAGGTGGAAGGCTCTGGAAGAAAGGGGGATGAATAAATCAGCAGGGCCACTGGCAGGTGAGAGGTGCTAGAAAAAAGGGAGCTTGGCTGCTGGTGGGTGCTTAGAATCTGCTAATTTTTCTTCATGGATGCTCCAGCACCTTTATAGTGCTGAGCTGCCTTTGCAAGGCTTGTTCTGCTCAGTCTACTGGTGGGCCAAGGGGTCTTTTTCCTTCTTTGCCTGGCATGTCTATCTCGCTTGGCCCAGCCAGCCAGCCACCAGTTCTGGGAAGAGGGCTTCTCCCGAAGGGTGGCCACTCTCTGCTCAGCCCCAGCCTCTGGGCACAGGGGTCGAGTGTGTTGGAAATGTTCTGAGGCTGGGGTGGCTATGGCTCACTCAGCCCCTGTTTCCCTGCTTCTGTGGTCCCAGGAACTGGTGAGATTGGTTGCCCTGACCCAGGGAGATAAGGCTGGAAGATTCCTCCCAGAAGTGATACATAGGGTGGTTACTCCCCTCCCGTTACAGTGCCCCTTCCCCCCAGTATCAACAGGCACAAGCCCTCTGATTGATAAAGCAGACACTTTCCACAGGATGATATTTGCAGTCTGACTTCAGCGGATCCAAAAGCTTTCAAAATACACACACTGCAGAAGAAGGTTGTCAGCCATTCAACTGCCATGTTTGCAAATATGCTCTTAGATCAACGACTAATTCAATTCCAGCTGGATTGTAGAGCCAGCTGCAGTGTTATCCCAGCAACACTGATAAGCAATATTAGACTAAAGAAATGTGACTAAGTGCTGGTGATGTACAATAAAACCATTCTAAGGCCAGCGGGTAAATGCGGACTGTGAATAAGACACCCATGAAATGAGATGTTATCGCTTGGAGTTTATAGTAATTGACACACAAGAAGTACCACTCACTGCTGGGCACAGTAAACCACCAGATTATCCTCAGTGTGAGAAAGGAGGGAGAACAGTCCCCTGGGGCCTTATTCAGCATTGTAACACAATATAAGGTCACATTTCAAGAAGTTGGACACCTATAGGGGTATATCTGGACTGGAGGTATCCCAAATAGCTATTCCGCATCTTTTGAACCAGCCGGATATTTTGAAATAGATTTCAAAATAATGGGTTCACTACTCTCATGCCCCTTGTTCCACGATGGTTAATGGTCATTTCAGAATAGCGGTTTATTTCTAAATTTGGCACTGTATAGACAGCGCCAACATGCAAATTAAGCTATTTTGAAATTAGATCGAAATAAGATATGCAATTTGCATAGCTCGAATTGTGTGTCTCATTTCGATCTATGGGTGCAATGTCTGATGCAATCCTAGAGGGTAGACTAACATTAGAAATAGATTCCCCGATGCAACCCACAAGACTACTGAAAACCATTAGCACTGGAGGAGCCACTGAGAAAGGAACAGCAAGCCTAACAAGAAGAAGCATTATTACACCAGTTGAAACTAGCACAGTACTCTAGTAGTGGTGAGAAAACTTTCAGGTAAACTGAGGCTCTGTATTGACCCACAACCAACTAACAGAACATGGAAAAGAAGTTACCAATGAGTGAGGACACACTATCCTATTACCCCTCGCCAAAAAGTGACATCAAAGAATGTGTATAACCTCAAGAATGAGTTCTGGCAAATTCAACTTAATGAGTCATCCAGCTATCTTACAGAACTTGAAACGCTTATTGGCAGGCACTGCTGGATATAAATGACTATGGGCCATGAGATGTCCCAGTGCAAACTGAATCCTAGAGGGTCATCATGATTGTAGCTGATGACATTCTCGGAGTAGGAGGAGATGTCAAAGAAGAAGCAACCACTACAGTAAACTGTGACAACTTCTAAACAGGTACCGGGACCAGAATATTAGGATACATACAGACAAGCTGCATCTAAGGAGAACTGAGACCCCCTACATCAAGACATATGTTGACTTCTGAGGACTCTGGCCAGGCTCTGAAAAACTGAGACACATTAAGGAAATGCCCTTAGTCATTTTTACCCCTGGCCAATACACTTCCTAGTTTCTACACAGATGTTTGAAAAGCCTGTGAATCTGAATAAGCAAACCCATGGAGATGCTGTGTGGAATAAGTCAAGAAACTTAAAAATGGCATTTCAAAGAACAGAGACATTCATAAGTCAGGCACCAGCTCTAAAATATTATAGCATTCCAAAGCAGGTAGAGCTACAGAGTGATGTCTTAGAAGGAGATATAGGGGTATGTCTACACTAGCCACCCTAGTTCTAACTAGGGTGGCTAATGTAGTCATTTGAACTTGCAAATGAAGCCTGGGATTAAAATATCCCAGGCTTCATTTGCATGTTCCCGGGTGCTGCCATTTTTAAATGCCCAGTAGTTCGAACTTCCTGCCCGTGGATACACGTGGCATGGGCTAGGTAGTTTGAACTAAAGCCCCTAATTCAGACTACCGTTACTCCTCATTGCAGGAGTTCAAACACGTGTAGCCGCGGGCAGGTAGTTCAAACTACCGGGCATTTAAAAATGGCGGCACCTGGGAACATGTAAATGAAGTCTGGGATATTTTTATCCCAGGCTTCATTTGCAAGTTCGAATGACTACATTAGCCACCCTAGTTCAAACTAGGGTGGCTAGTGTAGACATACCCTAGGAGACACTGACGACAAGTCAGTAGTCCATTACACTTGCTAATAGAATCCTGACCGACACAGAAAGGGAATATGTGCTCATACACAAAAGGACTTACTGGCCATCCTCCATCTTCCTTTGGTCACAGGTAGACGCGTAGTCATGTCCAGTGTTTCCGCTAAGCTGTGTGACAGCACAGCTTTACAAGTGATTAATCAGTCCTGCCTTGTCAGTCAGCTTTGTGCATAGAGCCCTGAGCCTCTGACTGGGTGGAGCTGATTAATCACCTGTAAAACTGTGCTGCCACACAGCTTAGAGGGAACACTGGTCATGTCATAAACCATTAGAAAAAATAAAATAAAAATGACAGCAATGTTTATACCCAAGTAATTGCAACACATGTTATTGAGTCTTTGATGTGACAATAAAGCTACTGACTAAACAATTCAGTATTGGTGGCCAGTAACCAGGCAGCACATATTTTACAAAGTGCAGCACAGATTACTTGGTGGAATAAGAGGGCGAGTACCAAGGAACAAGTACCACAAGGCTTTCTACTACCAGACAAAGGCTAGCTGTGTGTTGAAAAACAGATTTTGTTTGAAGAGGACTGAACAGTAATCCCAGCAGTTTTCAGAGCTAACATCATGAGATGGATACATTCCTGACACTTGGGAAAAAATGTAGGTCTAAGATGAGTTGGGCATGAATGCCCAAATGAGTATACATGGAACAGTGTGAGGTGTGACTCCATAGACTCATGAAATTCCAAAAGGACCCTGTGAAAAGGTCAGAACAGAGTTTGTCAATTTTAAGGGCAGTATCTACATGGTCACAGTGGATTACGCCTCCATTTTCAGGAAGATGGACTCTCTGGAGGATGCTCAGGCAAGAGCAGGGATCAGGAAACTGAAGGTGCATTTTGCAAAGTATGATATAGCTATGCTGTTCTCAGAAAATGGGCCCCAATACACTGTTGCGGAGTTCAATCCTTCAGCGTCCAATGAGAATTAAAGCATAAAACAACTTCCCCATGGTACCCACAAAATAGCAGGAAGGCAGAGGCAGCAGTAAAGACATCCAAGAGACTGATAGCAAAGGGAAAACCAATGTGAAAGGATCCCAACCTGGGATCAGCAACTCTCTCTGGGTAGCCCTGCCCAGAGATTGATGGCTGAAGAACCAGAACTCTGCAACCTCTGAGGTAAAGTCTGCTGCAGTGTACCTGAGAACAATGGACAGTTCACAGAGGCAGTTAAACATTGCCAAGTTAAGCAGGCGCTAGCTACAACAAAGAGTTCCAGGACCTGAGGTCACTACACACCTGATGAGCAGGTCTGGATCCAACTAATAAATTGCAATAAAAAAAGGTAAAGTCCAAGCTGAAGTGGGCCAGAAGGGTTTAAGAGATGTCTAAATATTCAGGATAACAGGAGAAACAAAAAAGACCTCTATGGGATCATTGAAGACTGCAGATCAAGATACAAAGGGCATATGTAAGGACCAGGGGAACTTAGACCAAACCTCTGCCATTAGGGGTGTGTATAGACTGCAGGGTTTTTTTTTTAAAAACATACTTTTTCCATAGACTGCAGGGTTTTTTTTTTAAAAACATACGTTTTTCCGAAAAAAGTTTCACTTACGTCCACACTGCTACAAAGAAAATCAAAAGAATGCAGGGTTTTTTTCCAACATTGGTAAAGCTCATTCTATGAGGAAGAACACCTTTTCCGAAAGAGCTCTTTCGGAAAAAGACATGTGTGGATGCAAAAGAGGGAGTTTTTTCAAAAGAAAAGGCCTCCAGGAAAAAGCATAGTTGCCCTGGTGGACACTCCATCCAAACTAATCATAGCTATAGTTCCTGCCTCCTGCCACCTCTTAAAGCTGCAGGCACCCTGGACTAGCCTTGTGGCAGGAAGCCGGCCTTGCCACAGCACCCTGATTGCGCAGCTCTGATTGCTAAAGGCCCCCTGAGACCTTCCTGGCCCACACAGGGAGCAGCACCAGGGCTCAGAGGACCCACCCAGAGGCACCAAATGCTGGGAGTCCTCCTGGTCGAGGGAAGAGATACTGTACCTCCCCGAGCTGTGGGACGAAGAGGAAACAATGCAGGATCTCCACTCTTGTAGGCATAATGAGGACATTTATGGGTGCATGGCTGAAGCTCTGGCCCAGAGAGGACACCACCCCCACACTCTGGACCAAGTACGGAGCAAGGTGAAGGAGCTCTGGCAAAGGTATGACTGGGCGAGGGAGCTCAGCTCTCGCTCTAAGGCAGGACCCCACTCCTGCCCCTACTACAAAAGGCTTCACCAGATCCTGGGAGGTGGGAAAGCCCTTTTCCCACCCATACTGGTGGATTCAGGCCTGGAGACACCCATGCTCACCCACCCGGAGCTCCTTGAGGAGGAGGAGAAGGAGGATGAACAACAGCTGCAGGAGGAGGAAGATACTAGCAGTGTCATCACCCTCAGCCTGGAGCCGATACTTCAGGCCCTGGAGATCTCCCAGGCTTCATCTGATGCTGGGGAGGGATCATCAGGTGAGATCTCTCATGTTGTCACATACTCAAGGCGAGGGAGGTGGGGGAGGCAGGGATGGGGTGCAATCATCACTTGCAAACACGTGCAGAAGCAGTGTGCACTACGTGGTATCAGGAAACAGCCCCAGAGCACACACAGGCTGCTGCTCACAGGCTGGGGGGGAGGCCCCACACATGACCGACCCCTGAGAGGGACGTCCTCCACCTACCAGCCACCATCAGAAGCAGGCTGGGCACAAGGGCACACGCACGACCCCACGCAGACCGAGGAGGGCCAAACATAGCACACAACCATGTTTGCATGAGCGAGGCACCACCCGCTCCCTCGGACAGCACTGCCAGGTGCAGTAGTGCGTGTGGGTCCCAGGGAGGGCCAGGTTGCTCCAGGCCCCTCTCCCACAAATGGGATCCCACTGTGGCTGGACACTTCCCTGGCCTGCTTGTCCATAGGGGGAGGGGGGAAGCTGGCAGCATGGTCCCCTGGGAACCTCGGGGCCCACACATGGCCTTGCTCTCAGGACATCACTGTCCCCTGCTCCAAGGACAGTTGCTCACTGCTCACTGATGAGGGTAAGGCCTCAGGGACAATGTCTGCATGTATGACTGACTTCCTCTCCCTCTTTTCCTCCACAGCTAGACCAGCCATCTCTGAGGGGTGATTCACGCTATCACAGGCAGCTGCCTGAACCCAGAGGAGCCGCAAGTTCTGGAGCGAGCATGTGGCAGTCCTCCATTACATGCAGCAAACCCTGGCCAAAAGGTCCGCAATGACGCTCAGTGGCACAACTGCATGTGGGACCAGCTTGTGTGGCAGGACAAAAAACATGTGTGCCACCATCCGGGAAGTGATGGCACACCTAGCTCCTGTCCCCACCCTAGCTCTCCCCACTCCTGCTCTCCCTACTCTTGCTCCCCACACTCCTGCTCCCCTTGCCCATGCCCTCTCTAGACCTGACCCCACTCCAGCTTCCCCTCCTGCCTGCCCCCCGATGTCTCAAGCCCCACCCAACCCTGAGTTCATCAAGGTCCCTGGACCTGAGGTGGCACTTTCAGAAGCACCACCTACCACTCACTGCCCTAACCGCCTCCTCCTCCTCACTCCTCCATCCAGGTTCTCAGCCCCCCTCCTCTGCAGTTACTTTTTGTTAAAAAAATATGCAAAGTTTTTATTGTTCAACTCACAGCTGTTGTTTTTATTGATTGAACAGGGAAGGGGAGCAGAAAGGGGTTGTTGTGGGAAAGGTATGGGAGGGCAAGGCACAGGCCCCCATTGGGGAGGCCCTGGGTAGAGTTACTGGAGTCCTTCAGAGAAACTCTCCCTCAGAGCCTCCCAGATGTGCACCCCCAACTGATGGGGCTGGTGGATGGCAGCTGTGTGCAGCTGTTCAAAGCCTTTCCCTCTTGACCTGCCTCTGCCCCCCACCCTGGGAGGAAGGCCTTCCCTTTTCTCTCTACTATGTTGTGGAAAACACAACATGCCAGGCATATACCTGGCCTAGAGGCGCCTGAAGGTGCATTCAACTTGGCTACGTCTACACTGGCCCATTTTCCGGAAGGGGCATGGTAATTTTTGAGATCGTAATAGGGAAATCCGCGGGGGATTTAAAAATCCCCCGCGGCATTTAAATAAAAATGTCCGCCGCTTTTTTCCGGCTTTTAGAAAAGCTGGAAAAGAGCGTCTACACTGGCCCCGATCCTCCGGAAAAAGCGCCCTTTTCCGGAGGATCTTATTCCTACT